TCTAGCTCTTAGTATTATCCATTTGTCTCACATTCACATGTCACTTATTAAGCTCTCTCTCAAGAAGGCAGACATTAGAAGCCAGAATACTGTCCCATTATAAACCTGATCATTTATCATTTATTACTTATTATTATTTATTTTTTTAAGTACCACATTTTTCTGTGTATATGACACCCCGAATTGGCCTCCTCAGCCAGACTAGATGCTGTTCCAAGACCTCTATTCAGAGCATGCTACCATAGTCACCTGAGACTGAAGGATGCCTGCAAGATGCCCCATGTATAAGACACCCACCCACTTTTCTAAGCCAAAATTAAGAAATCTTTATTTAAAACATAAAACAGACCACATTTTTATTTAGTAATTACATACCAGTACTGTCATATTATGCATCACACTTAGCTTTGAACATATCACTTTATTCAGCCTCTGGGCTCAGAATGCTCAGACATTACCAGTCCCTGTTGCATCTGAGCCTACAGGCTCCAACTCCAACGAGTTGTGTTCCAATTGTTTGTACAGCATCAACTGATGTGAGTTCTATAAAACTTATGATTGGAGGAAGCTATGCCTCATAACTGTAGGAAGCTAAGCCTCGTGATTGCAGGAAGCCTGTTTATAGAGGCATGGTATGGGCAGTTTTGAAATCACGTGGGTCTCTCCTTTGCTTACTTCCATGTATAAGGCAACCTTAAATTTTTAGTCTAAAAATTTTAGACAAAAGTACAGTGGTGCCTCGCAAGACAATGTTAATTCGTTCCGCGAAAATCTCTCTTAAGCGAAAACATCGTCTTGCGAAATGCAGTTCTAAGAATATATTTATGAGATCATATTTTTGTCTTGTCTGGATCACATTTTAGTTTATTTCAATCAAAGGGAAAGTGTCCTCACCCAGAGACGCTACCACCCCATAGTTTGCCAGCATGACCTCCTTGTATAAAACTTTTTGTGCTGGTTCTAAGAGATCCCACTCTCCTTTGGTGAAACAGACAGCTACCTCCTCAAAGGACACCAGCTGCTGGAAAAAGAAAAAAAGAAAAAAAAGCACTTTAACCAGAAAGAATCTCACATACATACACCAGTGCTCCCAGTTCGAAAGGGAAAGGACTAATAGTGTAGATTTGTAAATACTGTTTGTTCCATTTTACTTTGGAGGATTCAGGGCTTTAATTTTAGAAATACAAGAAAACTCACAATCTTCTTACTTGCTTATGTTGGAATGATAAAAGTAAAGAAGATTATTATTCTTTCTAACTGCCACCAGAAAACAAGGGGTGGCACTCAGAAGATCCC